AGATAGGAAATGTCATTCTTTCTATCCTAACCAATAAAGCATAGTTGGTTTACTCTAAGAGCTAAGATATTTGGGAATCGAAAAAAACTTGTACGATCATAATCGAACAAGACTTATAACCAAGTTCAAGATCACACTATGATAAGTTGACGGAAGGACTGAATTATTTGGTAACTATGCTTGTGAATGGTAATGATCGATTAATTAATCCTCCTAAAGAATTGGGTAGTCATGATACCTTACTAATGGCCAATCTTGATTTATGTATCAAGAGATAAAAGATAACTCTTTTATTCTTGATATATTATCAATATATCTAGAAGCCTATTGAGTCACATATATAAGTTTAAGCATTCACATGATTAAAAAGAAGCAAACATATTGAAAAAATTTTCTAATTTTGAAAGTTTCTTATTATGGAAAAGGTTTTCAAAAATGAAAATTTTCCTTAAATGGAAGTTTCTTAAAATGGAAATTTCTTATTTTAGAAATCAGTTTCCTAATTTGAAAGTTGGTTCCAAATTTGGAAATAAATAACCTAAAATGGAAATGAGTTTCCTAATTTAAGTTAAAGGGTATTTTGAAAAATTATTTCCTAATGTGGGTTGCCTAAAATTATCTAAGATTATTTATTTAGATAGCACAAATAAATTAATTGGACTAGAATGATTTTGGCCTAATAGATTTAATTAAAAACCTTAAGATATTTTTATTAGAGGATAAACATCAACCTTAGTAGATAATGATGAATGTTTTGAAGATAAAGATCAAAAGCCCACATATAAAATAACTCCTAATCTGTGGAGGATTAGGAAACAACAACCATAAGTCCAATTAAGACTTATTTGTCATCCCTCTCCTTATCCCTAGAGGACAAGGAAACTCTCCCCTTATAAATAGGATGAGAGGTACAGCATAAAAAGAGAGATTTTTGGGAGAGAAAATTCAACCAACAAAGAAAAATAAAAGAGACACACGACTCAAAATAGAAAACTAAGAGAAAATTACTTTCCCCTAACCCTAGCACGCCATCTCCTCTCTCATCTCTTTGGATTGTTGCAAAATTAGCTAGATTAGATTTCTATAGGAAACACTACATAAATCAAAAAATATAGAGCCAGCACTCTATCAATTTTGAATGCTTCTTTGTGAATGCTTGGACTACGTGGATCATCAATAGAAGTCGAAAACTTGGACGGCTTTTCTGCTAAAGAATTTAGATATGTGCTACTAGAGGTAATTCTCTATTCATTGCTTTAATTCATGTATATTTATAGTTAGTTGATTCAATAGCATGACCTTAGGCCCTTTAGATGGAGAAAAATTTGTATTTAGTATGCATCTCCATAAGATGCATGATCCTTCACGAACACCATGGAATGCCACCAAGGAATGAGTATTATATGAAATGGAAGGGATTACCGAAAAACGAGGCTAGTTGAGAACGTGATGAAGCCTTGTGGTAATTCATACGGAAGATCGAAGAGTATAATCAAGGCACGTCGAGGATGTCACCAAACTAGGCGAGGGAGAATGTTACGCCCCACTCAAAAGAGAAAGTTTTTGGAGGTTATTGGAAATGCTAAATAAGTTTGAAAGCCTCTAGAAGATTATAGAGCAATGGAGAAGCCTCTAAGATGTCCAAGAGAAATCTAAACATGTCTTAAAGAATTCCAAAAAGTCCCTCATTATTCTAGCTTATACATATCTAGATAGTTCCTTGTAAATACTAGATAGGATATTTTTAAAGAATCAATTATAACCGTTGAATCAAATAGATCCTAGCCATCCATCGAGGAAGTGGAGGACTATAAATAGGTGAGGCCTTCATTTGGTCAAGACATCCGGAATCTAAAAAAGTGTAACCTTAGAGTTATAAGCTTTAGAGAAAGCAATACAAAGAGTTCTTCTATCTCTTATGTTTGTCTTTCTTAGTTGACAACTTTGTGTGGGAAAGGCCGACTCGGTTTGACTTAGAGAAGAAGTGAGCTAAGTACCACACGAGAGCTTGAGAAAGGCCAAGTTCGTAACAATACAATTAAAAATTAGCGAGTAGAAACCGTAGACCGAACTTAGAAATTCGAGAATGACAAGAATAGCACGGCGACACCTCGTATTAAATTAGTATTACGTGTTCGACATTGATTTGTTCATCTTCGTTCTAACTTTCAAGCATAAGATACACCTATTCTACACGTCTTTCACGAAAGGAACATAGCACTTTTTTTCTCCGCGAATGGAAATTCGGCATGGTCATTCCAATAATATAGTTTAATGATAAAAATTATCTTTAAATTATTAAAATTGTGACAATTTAAGATTTTATTATTAATTTTAATTATTTGAATCCTAAATTTTTTTTTAGATAAATATTATTTTTTTTTATTTGGCACTCACAAGCATTGACTCTTAAGCATTCTTCTTCTTCTTCTTCTTCTTCTTCTTTAAAAAAATTAATGGCAAAAGTTACTTTCAAATTGTCGAGGTAATGGTAATTTAAGATTTTTACTATTAATTTGAGTTATTTGGATTATAAACTATTATTTTTTTTATAAATATTGTTCTTTCTCTATTATTTTTTTTACCATCAAAACGTTGACCGTTAACTTAAATGTTTCAATGATCTTTTTTTCTTTTTTTTTTGTAAAAAAATGAATTTTGAAAAATATATAATAATGATTAATATGAATAACATATCATCTTAATATGTAATTACATGTCGTTTTGATATAAAGTAACTCAATTAATTGAACTGATCGAAAGAGATTGCAATCAATGAATTTCAATTGAATTACTAGTTGTTTTATTATTAAAATTATCTTTTTTGGATCTCTTGTCTTCTCTTGATATGTTATCTCGCTTTCAATTCATCTTTCAATTTGCTCTTTTTTATTTCACCTCTCATATTCACCGTAACAATTTCAATTATCTTTTATTGGACTTGAAGATCCAGATCCCTTAGAAATTTTTTTTTTTCAAAAACCCAAATTGTATTTACATGAACCTTTTTCATAATAATCTATCGAATTGCTACTCAATCATCTTTTATTGAACTCTAATAAACTTCGGGCACTTGACATTTCTTATAACGGTTTTATAAGGTCCTTTTCGAGTTTGAAAATCGAGAATTCTTGTAACTCCTTGTAGTAACTTGATTATTTGGAAACCATTTAATGGATTCCATTCTTCCTTCCCTTTTAAATTATACAAAAATTCTCAAAATTTTAAATCTTTCATCAATATGCTCACTAGAGAGATCCCAAGGTCTTTTGGTGAACTAAACGAGTTTATAGAGATTGAATCTCTCTCACAATCATATCACTTGGTAAGATTCTTTCTAAGTTGAAAGATACATGTATTTAATTTCTAGAACTTTTGATTTTCTATAACAACATTTCGAGTTAATTCATGTTTTGTTTTTCTTTGTTATTAGTTGCAAACTTTTTACTTGATCCATTGCAACCTCTCTCTCTTTATCCGAGTTAATTAATTCGAGTTGATTTAATAATGTCTTAAGAAGACATATTGTCTAATATTAGGACGATATATTGTCCATATTAATTATCATTATATATCTTTTTCAAAATTAATTTTCTTTTGTAAAAAAAATAAATAAATAATAAAATGCTTAAACAATCGTATAAGCATTTAAGTTAATGGTCAATGTTTTAACTATCAACGATAACGAATGAAAGATAACTTTTGCTCGAAAAACAATAATTTAGAGTTCAAATAACCGAAATTGATAGTAAAAACGTTAAATTTTCATAATTTCAATAGTTTGGATGTAAGTTTTGCTATTAAGCCAAAAAAATAAATCATAAATGTTTAAATGATGTCCTTTTAAGTATTTAACTTAATAGTCGACGTTTTGACCATTAAAGATAATGGAGAGAAGATAACATTTATATAGAAAAATATAGTTTGATTTCTAAAAAAACCCAAATTGATAATAAAAATTTTAAATTACCATCTCCATAATTTAAGAGTAATTTTTGTCATTAAACACAATTATATGTTTGGAACTTCGAAGTCCAAGCGTGCAAACAACTAGGTGACTAGTTGCCAGGAACTGATCTATCGAAACCCAAATGCAATTCCCTGAGTTTTGAATGAATGACTAATGCAAATTCTACCGGATCTAAACTGATGAAATAATATCTTTCAACAATGCGACTCATATTAGTTCTTTGTTAGAAAACTTGACCAAATTTGTTCTGCTGAAAGAGACCTCTATGTAGTTTTATACCTTCGGGGGGATCATGCTTAGTCGAATAGTTAGCCCACTTGCCATGCACAAAGACAATAAACTCTTAACTAGAAATTCTACCATATTCAAGCTCGATTCATGCCTCAAGTAATAAGATTGACGAGGGCTTAAAACACAAGCTTATTGAACTCAAATATGAAGGGAATACATGAAAATTGCAAATTGACAATCTTAAGATTTAAGAGGTACGTGGATAAACTGTGAATTTAGAATGAAAGAGCAGTTGAGACGCAGAGCAGTTACTAAAACTGGCGTCTGTGTCCATAATTACAGAAAGATCTGCAAATTTTATTTAGATGAAAACGTTGAACTAAAACATTTTAGCTGTCCCAATCTTGTATCTACCGTCACAAATGCTGTGATCATTTCCAAGACATCATGAATGATCAGTTGGCTGAGGCCAAATTTTACCCTAGCATTTTGTTACAATTCAAGCTGAGTGAATCCACAAAATTCACAAGCGAAACCAGCTACACCTTCAAGTAATTAACATCATCAACGACAAAGGAAACAAGCAATGCATCAGAAATAAACTTCAATTTTTACCATTAATGGCATATTGGGTCGCATAATCACAACTGAAAATGTTTTCCTTTTCTTTTTCCTCTAAGTCCCTAGTCTCTAAAAAAAGAAAGCTCCATACAAGCATACAAAACTAGATTTTCAACAAAATCCAGAAATCAAGCCGAACAAAAAGAAAAAACCTTCAAATCATCAAAAGGTTTCTTTTTTATAGTGTTTTTGATTTAGGAGACTTTTTCTTCAGTTGTCTCCTTGGGATCGAGTTCTTCATGCCAATAAAAAAAAGCAATGCCCCAAACAGTGCCAAGTTCTGAAAAAGTTACAGAGCATGGAAATGCATTAATGGTTTATCAGATGCATAAAGCAAAGGTTAGATAGATCACCAGAACAATAGAAGAAAGGGAAAATTCTGTCATAAATTAAGAGAAAGAACTCTGAAATCACCAAAAAAAAAAAATTCAGAATCACTAACCAGAGCAAACTTTGCAAAGAGCAGATTAAATTCCTTTGTGTCAGCATCATAGTTGTAAAAATCATACAATACTGGGGTGATGATGAGCTGGTGCAGAAGCTGCACGAGAAAAAAAGCAACATTTTATGTAATTGCTTGGTCAAATAGCCAGTTTAATGCAAGAACAAATAGACCAGAAAACGAACCAGAAGATAAGCTCCAATAGAACTGCCAAAGATGAAAAGAAGGCTTCCAAAAGCTTTCACAGATATAGCAGCAGCAACTGCATGCTTCATCTATAGAAAACAACTCCAAGCGTTATGACATTCAAACAAAACTACTAAGAAAAAAACATAGCAGAATCAAAATAACGTAATACACACCTCAAAATGTGGCACTTGAAACCCAGTATGAGACGACACATGTTTAGAGAAAAGATGGAATTTAGGTGCCAAAAGATGTGCTGCCGGCCCACCATTGGTACCAAATTCATTGAACCTGCAACCGTGAATAACAAATAATCACTCTTATGACCAACTTACAATTTAGTAGGTAAAAAAGCATTTGGCAGAATGAACAATTAAGAAGCAAATCACAAACAGCTAACAACCTAAAAATCCAACAAAATTATCAAAAACCATCTTGTCGGAAATTCAAACAACAGAAAACCAGCACAGCTGGTGCAGGACATCAACATAATTACAAAGTCATTGCATGAATTAGAAAGATAACAAGCATGCGAAAAATAGTCACCATGGAACCAAGAAGCAGCCCAGCACCGAAATTCCCGAAAGAGAACATTAAACTTTACCATTAGCAATATGGTCGGAGTAAATCTCACATATTGACTTCACTGAAACGCTCACTTATTCCATAAACTATAACACGGAACTAATCTAATTTACCAACCACTTATGAACAATTAACAAAATCATAACAATCCCAACGGACAAAAATATTCATTAAATACGACGAATCGAACAATGGAACCAAGATCTAATAGTATTAATTAATTGAGTTACCAAATAAAAAAGTAAACACGTAAATTAACTAAAAAAACAGCAAGTTAACTTAGGTGTAACCTCAACATTTGTAAACTGAAATTCAAAACTGCTTATAAAAGAAGTAAAGAAAAATAAAACATACTATCAGATCTATCAAATGCTTTGCTTGGAAAAAAATAAAATAAAATAAATAAATAAAACATCAGAAACTAGAGCAAAGGTAGGTGCAGAAGCAAAACCCTAACTTTAACTAAACAAGATTGTTATTCTAAACAGAAAAAGAAGAGAAGATCTGGTGGAGGAAGGAGAGGGGAAGGGGCTTACTCTTGCCAAGCAGAAAGAATGAAAACAGAGGCAAAGAGAACTCTCCCGACGCAAGCAATGAAAGCCATTAGTGTAGGAACGGAGACACGCTGCGCCTCTACTAATATCCAGAAGTAAAACTAATCTTAAGTTTTTGTTGAGATCGAGACAAGGGGAGAGTTTTAAAAGGAGCAAAACAAGGGACGGCTTTTTAAACAGAGACAGGCTTCTTAAAGGGCAGAAAATTTTCGCTTCGGCGCTTAAAAAGGTCAGCTACTGGCATGCTCACTTGTGAGAGTATGGAAAGGTAAGTTACTCGCTGTATTTGTTACATTGGCTTTTATTTCAAACCTTACACGTATACTGACCAATCAGGTTAGTTCGCGAAATGACGTGTTACTGCGTTTTCGCAAGGGTTTTTATCATCCACTTCTGATGTTATGTGTATTAAATGTTTTTGAAATATTTTGTCTTCGCTTGAGTTTCTCCTATTTTTGCAGAATATCACCGTCGTATGGAGAAATGAATTTTTTTATTATTATTATTAATATATTTTTTTAGTAATAATTGAATTGAGACACATAGAAGACTTCGGCAATCCCTATTAAAAATTTATATAATTTTTCCTTCTGTTTGCATATACTATCTGTTTATTACTGTTCACTTATCTCAGTTCACCATTCATTAATAGTAATTTTGGAATTCTTTATAATAGCTTTTTTCTAATTTTTTTATATTTTTTAGATATTTATTTTCAAATTTTAGGCTTCATTCATTTTTAGTTCCTTATATTTTTAAATCTTCATATTTTTTATTCCTTATAGTTTTAAAAGATATTTTTGATCTCTTATATTTTAAAGTTTTAGAACAAACTATATATCAAATTAAATTTTTTGTTTCTTCTTTTGATTTAAAAAATAAATTATTTAATTTTTTTAATCAGTGTTGACCATGAATGATTTATTTTTTCATTTTATAAAAATGTCTTTTTTTTCAAATTTTTCACATTTTTTTATTCTTTCTCTATTTCTTAAAACAAAAAATAAAAACATTGAAATTGGAAAAAGGCCAAAAAAAATATTTTAAAAATTAAATAATTTATTTTTGAAACCAAAAGAATTAATTCATTCTTTTTTCAAAACGAGAAAAACTAATTTATAATTTAATTTGCAATTCAAGAATCTCTTTCATCATAAATTAAGAAGTAAAATTTATGAGAACCAATTTTATAGTAGCTTTTATTTCAATTTATTAAATTTAATATATTCCATATAACTTAGATGGTTTTTTAAAATACTCCTGAATATATATATATATATATATATATATATATTCACTTAAAACCTTGTGTAAAAATTAGAATAGTGAAGTTTTTTTTTTTTTAAGTAGATTAACACATATATATGTTTAGATGTTTAGGAAAAACTTTTTCTTCCAACCTCTAAGAAATCAAAACCGCAAAAGTGATGATTATTTTTTTAATATTGTAATTAAGTTTTAATAATTAATAACGGAGTGATATTAAAAGATGATTTTTGTCTAGATTAATTTGTCTTAATAATTTTAGAAAAAAATAAGGATAGATATATTTAAAACATATCGTTTTGCATGAGCTTAGAGTAGTAATCGAAAAAAATTAAATAAAATTTTATAAAAAAGAGAGAAAATAAATTTATACCGATGATGGGGTATCGTACCCACCAACAAATTAGATGTATTTATTTTCCTCACATAACCCAACTACAGGAGTGTAAAAAGGGCAAGTAAGGGTTGAATCCTTAGGAAAAATGGTCTAATTAATGGTTTTTATCGACTGATTGTTCTTTGGTGCAATGGAAGTAAAAATGGAGGGTTTTGTGTTTGTAGGGATTTGCAAAGTAATCAAAAGTAAAGATAAATAATGAGAAAAACCTTGGTTGAAGTTTAATATCTACTTTTTGTTTAATTGTTGATAATTGATTCAAATATTAACATATTCTTGATATGAATATTCACCGTGAGACAACAATATGTATGTTGTTCCCAATCTTGCGCTACTAATTCGTTAACCAAATAAACGATATTTGATTAATCTTTAACTATTGAACAACCTAGTAGACGCTAGCTAGATTTAATCCAATAATAGCACTAAATAGAGAAAGACGAGTGAAGCTAAATCATCCTTCAGACTCTAGAAAGATGTAATCTAGTTTTATGTTTTTCAAATGATTAAATGAAAACGCATTTATAATCATTAACCCTTAGTTACTATCATGTGTAAATTTAGACAAACAATTACATGGGCTTGAATACTTAGCTAGCAATAGATTACGATGATCAAGTAATTAGCGTGCACTTTAATCAATTAATCACACAATTATAACCAAATAACACGGAAAAAACATAAAATACTAAAAAAGAATAAGTTTAGAACTAGAACCCTTTAAGATCTCAAAACGATTTTACCAAAAGCATCGACTTTCCTTTAATCAAGATAGATGTTTAGTGACTTATGATCGATTATAAGAGAATTTTGTATATAGAGGTGGCTACTAAAAAGAGAGCAATTCTTCCTTAGAATGAGAGAATGAATAAAGTAAAACCCTAACTTCTCTATTTATAGCAAAAGATAGGGTTACAACACACATATAAGCGACTCCATATGGACACATGACTTGCTTGACTTAGGCATATGATCGTGTGCCATTTGCACTCATTTCATGTCTTTTATTGTTTTGTCTTGTGTCCCTAGCTATTACCCATGTGATTTTATCTCTTCATCTCATGCCCCTAGCTAAATATTTAATGACTTATAGTCGATTATAAGAGAATTTTCTATCTAAGGGTGGTTGCTGAAAGAGAGAGATTCTTTCCAAGAATGAGAGAATGAATAAAGTGAAACCATAACTTCTTTATTTATAGCAAAAGGTAGGATTACAATAAATACATAGTAGCCCCACGTGGACACATGACTTGCTTGACTTATGCATACGACCGTATGCCATTTGCACTTCAACTCATGGCTTTTGTTGCTTTATCCCGTGTCTCTAGCTTCGTTTATGTGTCTTTGTTACTTCATCCCGTGTCTTTAGCTTTTTTCCATGTGTCTTTGTTGCTTCATCCCATGTCTCTAGCTTATACCCATATATCTTTGAATAATCGACTTCAATGAACTTGATCCATGCCGAATTAGAGTTTTCTTTGTCGTGAAAGTTTTAACCTTATTTCTCATCTTTCCAACACATTAAGGTTTGCATCAATTGGCTATCTACAACTTCAATTATAAGCTAAATAGTAACGCCAACTCAATCTGTCCGACCAATCTTAGGATTTCACTTGACGACTAAATTCCTCCATGATAACGACTCGGTTTAGACTCATGACCTTCAAAATACTTGTAGGTATAGCTCTTAAGTATTCAATAGGCTTAGCCTTTCATCAATTGGAGTTCTAAAACTCCATAATTGATCTAGACTCGAATAGGATTCGAATCAGCTTTCTAGACTAGAATATGAAACTTGGATTTTGACTAACTATATCATTCTAGAAATATTGAGATGTCCTTTGTAAAGTCTTTGAAGACAATTTCTTTAAAATCCAACTCTAAGGCTTCAAAAAGCCTATAAGAAATCCAAAAGGTTTAACTTAATCATGCTAGACATTCACACGGTTTTCTTCTTTATTTAATACGGTCGATAGCTTTTTTCTCTTGTAGGTCACACGGTCGTATGTCTCCTTTGGTTCTTTTGTGGCTTTGGCTTCTCCTTGTTTTGACTTGCGTTCATTTACTTCAATTCGTCATTTTTTCTACAAAATTCAAAATCGTTATCTTTATTTTAATTCCATAGATATAATAAAATAAGTACCAGAAAATTTAATATAAAAAAACATAAAAGTTATACAAATTATGCACTCATCGACTGAATTTTATCAAATTTGATCTTTTAACTATCTTTTTTATAGGGTCAAATACATGGGAAATGGGAAAAATATATAGGGAAATCAAATTTTACATAACAACATGGATAGTGCTTAATAGATTGCTTATAAATAACGTTTATATTTATAGATAAATGCATGTAAAAACGTGTTCGAAAAGTATTTGATTCCATTATTTCCTTTTCTTTTCTTTTTAATTTTTTTGGTTATATGATAATAGGTATTATCATGCCAACTTTGAAGAAACCCCTAACCATTTAAAAAAAGAGAGAATTTCGCACATAGCAGGGTTTTTTTTCAGCATATTTTTTCAATAATAATAAGCGGCAAAAGAAGCATGCTAGTGGTATGCTAAATCACCACTCGCTTTGGCGCCATGAACTTCAGAACCTGCTGTCGTCGCAGGAGCGTGTCAGGAATTGGTGCACGCTACGATCGATTGCTTAAATCAATTAAGGAAAAGGCTTGGTAAAGAATCAGCATTACGTCCTTCAAAAGCACGAGCAGCTGCTAAGACATCAGATCTTGAAGGCTTCAAATCTCAACAACAATAAAGAAAACAAAAGGTTTGAACATAGAACAACGACAATTCCAGATCAAACCATCTGTAATGAAAATTTTGAAAAATTGAAAATCAAGTCAAATTCATGAAAAGGGAAATATATATACAGCTGTGGATGAGTGAGGCAGCCATTGCAATGTTCCCATCGATCGGATCCCATTATTATTCAATTAAGGCTGCCTCGTGCATAAAGCTGGACTTCATAAAAATTTTTAATGTGAAAAATGGCAGGTGAGGTGCCATACCTCATCAAGAAAGGTGTTGGGTTTGCAGACGCACATGAATATAACAACTCACCTGCATCTGCGTGACAGAAGATAAAAGGACAGTAGACGCTATTCCAAAACTATTTGTACACTTCAATTTTTTTAAAACTTCTAAAAAGTCTTCCATTTGTATTTTCTTTTTTCTTTTTTCAGTTCCAAAAACTTTCAAAAACAGAACCAATTACACATTAAATGTCCAATAAATAACAACTAAATATATTGTCAGCTAAAGTTACCATCCACGATTAAAATATATTTTTTTTCTTTTTTTTTAACAAAATCAGCATTCCATTGCAACAGATATTGCCAAGAACACGGTTATTTACAAGCAAATGGAACGGTA